CGTCGGTAGGTAGGTAAGGTAGGAGTACACACACACACACACACACACATATATATATATATATATATATATATGTATGTATATATATATATATATATATATATGTATTAAATACATGCATATGGTACATGGCACATGTGTTCACTCGGTTTCATCGGTTGCCGTGTATCCGATCAAGATGTCATCTTAGTTCTACTACACTTGATCACGGCAACCATCAACATGCAGACTCACATATTTTAATTCACACAAATTAAAATACACACACACACCACACGCATATATACACATTGCTATTACAGGTATGTCCACTACCTTCTCCATAGTAACCTTCAACGGGTTAGGTCTTGCCCAACCCGAGTCATTAGTCCACGCTAGTGCTGCATATATCATATACACTCACGCTCAAGCATCACTGACCTGCACCTGTACGACGACTTATAGACGACTTATACGTACTAATCTATATCGACACGTATATACATGTATACACTCACGTGTTTAAATATACACACTCACGTGTATATATACACAAACACACGCGTATAAATACACAAACACACACGTAGACACGTCCTGATTATGCATACCTTCATGTTCTTGCAGGGTATGATTACAACTTTCTCCGCGCTCATCTTTGGTGGACTGGGTCTATCCACGGCCTTTGCTATCACGCCAGACGTTGGCGCTGCACGTCAAGGAGCTACACGTATATTCCGAGTTATAGAGAAGAAGTCGCTTATCGAACCTAATCAGCCTGGTGTATATGTATCGTCATTTGCAAGTAGACATGATCATGGAGACGATATGGGGGCGAAGGAAGTTGAAGCACTCGGCCCAGATGGTAAGAACACTATCGATGTATATATATATATATATATATATGTATATATATACACGCACACATGCACAAACACACACACATATATATATATAATATATATACATACACACACTATATATATATATATACGCACACACACACACGCATATATATATATATATGTATTTATATATCGACATATACATATATAATATAATATATCGACATATACATGTATAATAATATATGTATACATATATGTTATATATATATATTGCATGTATATTACTTGTATATTATATTCTTAAGCACGGAATGTTGTTTATCTTTGCACGAGCACTTTAAATAATACGCTTTATCATCAAATTCCGCAATATCCGGTACGTAAGTGTCAATAATAGTTTTGCAATTCAAAAATTTAATCGATTTCAGTCAGCAAGTAGCACTGTTTGATCCGCTGTCCGTTTTATAGATACTAATAACAAATCCTGTATTCTGATTGGTTCTCACACCTTAATTAGAAGCGGTACAGTCCGGTCTCGAGCTGTCGGCAGTGAGTTTACAGCACAACAAAACAGCAGCATCCAAACAGGAAGTAGAATTGCAGGGCCAGGTTTCGTTCAATGAGTTGGTGTTCTCATACCCCTCGCGCCCTGGACAGACAATCCTTAACGGCTTCACCGCAAGTATCGAAGCCGGCAAAACCCTTGCGCTTGTCGGAGAAAGGTAAAATTATATATATATATATATATATATACATATATCGTCTTGAAGCGTTTGTCCGTGCTTTATAACACACACCTGTTAACAAAAATGCTCACGCACATACACACACGGACACACCTTTTATTTAATTGTCTTTTCAACACATCACATATTGAATACATGTACATGTACATGTACATATATAAAGACTGTGAAGAATCGTCGGCAATGAGCCTACTGGAGACGAACCACCAACCTCCGGGGGGGGGTTCACGTAAGTGTGGATGGAGTGTATATGTTCTTCATATACACCTTGATATATAAAAACACACACATCTCTCCTAAAGGGTTTTAGGGTTTAGACAATTAGAAACCGCTTCGGAACGTCGTGTTTGTGGAAATTGGGATGGTGATATTGATAACGACCATACCTCATTTACTGTGTTCAACGCTCAAGCCTGTCTCGGTTTATGGCAAGCGGAGCGCACAAATCGGGGCACTACCGTCGACCTTTGCCACCCACACATGCACACACACACAAAAACGTCGCGTCACACTTTCCATCTATAATCTCACCATCACACTGTGTATACATGCATCTCCATATACAGTGGCTTTCCATATCTGAGCTCATCACGGCACTGTGTACACATGCATCTCTATATACAGTGGCTTTCCATCTCTGATCTCATCACGACACTGTGTACACATGCATTTCCATATACAGTGGCTGCGGCAAGTCGTCGGCCATGGGCATACTTGAGATGTTCTACCAACCCCGCGGGGGTCACCTGAGTGTGGATGGCGTGGATGTACGCGAATACAACCTGCAGAGTCTTCGCCAGGCTATAGGCTTGGTAGGCCAAGAGCCTGACCTGTTTACCGCAACGGTTAGAGAGAACATTGTGTACGGCCTGGACGTAGATACACACCCGGTGTCGGACGAGGAGATCATTGCTGCGTGCGAGAAGGTGCGTGCATATGGCAGTGGACAAATACACAGGAATGCGTGGTTGTGTTTGTGGTTGTGATTTGAGTGAACTTTGTGCATGGCCTGGAGGCGAAGTATTGGGTAGAGAGTTTATCGGTTGCGAGCGAGAAAAGGTGGTATGTCTATGGCACCTCCAGCCTATAAAAACACGTGACTTGCCCACCTCTTTAAGACACAGCAATAGCTCCAATCCATACAGGCGGATGTGTATAGAAACACGTGACTTACCCACCCCTTCAACACACAGCTCCAATCTATACAGACGGATGTGTATAGAAACACGTGACTTGCCCACCCCTTCAACACACAGTTCCAATCTATACAGGCGGATGTGTATAAAAACACGTGACTTACCCACCCCTTCAACACACAACAACAGCTCCAATCCATACAGGCGGATGTGTATAGAAACACGTGACTTACCCATCCTTTCAACACACAGCAACAGCTCTAATCCATACAGGCGGATGTGTATAGAAACACGTGACTTACCCACCCCTTCAACACACAGCAACAGCTCCAATCCATACAGGCGGATGTGAAACGCCGTGTTGCATGCACTCTAGACCAATCGAATTGGCACATATTTAGAATCATCCAAACGGGCGATTGCCATTGCGACATTTACTCTCTACCAACCAGTGGGTTCTATTTAAAAATATTTATATAGGCGAATACCATTGCCGCAATGTACTCTTTACCAATCAATATGGCTCATATTTAAAGTTATTTGTACCACACAGGCGAATGCCATGTCATTTATCGATCAGTTGGAAGACGGTCTCAGCACTCACTTGGGTGTGCGCGGCTCGTTACTGAGTGGAGGCCAGAAACAACGGGTGGCCATCGCCCGCGCTCTTCTCAGAGATCCAAAGGTATACGCCTGAGTACCATTCTATTTTTAGATCTTTCCACTGTATCCGTTTCTATTTTTAAATCTTTCTACTGTATTTGTTTCTGGATTTTCAGATTTTGTTTGCATCAGTTTCATGGCCCCTGTTTATCATTTGATAACTCAATATCGGTTGGAGGGGTTGCTCAGATTTGTGCCGTTAAGCATCTCGTATCTCATATCATGAATTCACGTTCTATTTTTAGATCCTGCTTTTGGACGAAGCCACTTCCGCCTTAGACGCCGAGAGTGAGCGAGTAGTACAGAGCGCGCTTGACGCTGCTGCTGAGGTATGCTTATATATATATATACATATATATATATTTATATAATATATATGTATGTGTATGTATGAATGTATATATTTATATAATATATATGTATGTGTATGTATGAATGTATGTATTTTTTTATTTATGTTTGTATGTATGTATAAATGTATGTATGGTTTTGGTACGTTTATGTTTTATTGGCATGAATGTGATTATATGTATGAAAGGGTGCGCAATTGTGTACATGGCAGATGTAGATAACTATATAGGGTTATGCAGTCCGTTATACATGTTTTCTATAGCAGTCATGAGTGGTCAATATGAGACGTCGAGAGCTACAGCGGTCTGTACACAAGCTATGTTTATTCTGGTGTAAATGTTTATTGTAACATACGTACTTATGAAACACGGCGTTGATATGTTATTTACATGTGCACCAACTACAATCACCACAGGGCCGCACGACGATAATGATAGCGCACAGATTGAAAACTGTGGAGAATGCAGATAAGATCTGCGTGGTTGAGTTGGGCAAGGTAGTCGAAGAGGGCACACATAGTGAGCTCATGGCCGTGAAGGGACGGTACTATAACTTAGTTAGATTGCAAACAACAGAGTAAATAAAATAAAGCATATATATATATATATTGGGTGCTGAACAAGCCGCTATACAATGTAAAAGCTGCATGAATTCTGAAGCAATTTGGTATTATGCACACCTAAAGCAGCGGCGGGCATCGAAAGCGCCGTCAGCATTACGCAGCGGTTGATTCAGTCGTATCTCGGTCAGACACCAGTTGGTTCTAATGTGGAATGACACACTCCGACACCGTTTGAATAGATCTATTATATATATATATATATATATATATAGTTCGGTTGTTCCTTGTATCTCAGTAAACGAGGTATTACACAGTAGCTGCACCTTCAGTGCACATTAATAGAGCGGTTAATAACACCTGAAAGCACACAATGATTGTTCCCCACTCGACCTTTCGTATTGACCGTGAATATAACTAGACTGTTAGACATCCTCCCACCACCATCGCTAGAGCAATACAACTCGCCTCCTTGCACCTCTCCAACCGTGTGCAACATTACCGCCAGCAACGCTATACACATTGTAAAGTTCGGCCCAGTTGTTTCGTAGTGCGCCTGGTCAGGCCACAGGGCAAGCGGGACGATGACTTCCCATACAGCCATTGTTACAGGCAATTTTCCTGCTATACGCTGTATTCGGTTATGGTTTGGTACTGTCCATACGCCAGCATACAACAGGCGAAACATTCACCCAATCCGCCTAGCTTATTCCACATTTCACACTGTCCATGAATGCTATATGCCTGCCATGCCCACCCCATCGAGCCCTGAGTAAAGCCAGACCACTAACCTAACGTCATTGACTATCCCTTCTACATGCAGCATTTGCGTTAGTACATCCCCATAATAACATCAAACCCACTAGTATACGGGCCTCCAACTTTGACCTCAAGTTCCTGCACATCGTATTATCCCCGGACGTTGTGTGGAGCTTGACATATATCCCATACTGCCACCATCACAGTCATATCACTACAGGCCGTGGGCTGTACTCTTTACACTATCCTGCTATAGTAATCCTACCGGCAGTACAATCTAGTACCATAAAGTGAGGTACCAAACTAACCTCTGTCCTATTTAAACCTACAGATAGTTGTTGCCCATGCCCTCTACACGGGTATTGCTATCGTAGATCCATATCACCACAGGCATTTGCCTGTAACCATTACACACCATTGTGTTTGTGTACGGACAAGCCAATATACAAGCATCATATGCAAAAATCCAAACCATACTCTGGTTCAGCAGTGTATGTCAGATCCGTACTCCTCTATCGTCATATAGCAACCGACAACGTTGCACGCATGTGAATACATGGATGCAAGTACAAAGTGACGTATCAACCCACTAACACTTGCTTGTCCAATCATAGTAGAGCCTCAAGACCATTGCTCAAGTCAATACCATACGCTGTACCGCACGAGCATTCCGATAACCCATGATATGTGCCGGATCAAGGGTCTCTATCTCGGCCGTATCACCTACACTCGGCCGGTAGGTATAAAGTATGCTTTGTAACACACACACGTAGATATATAGAGTATATATACCTAATAACATTTGGTTGCCTAATCATCGTCGCCCCATACCCCATGCTCGCGATAGACAGCTTCCGTTGACATACGGCGCGCCGCGCTTACGCTCAGATTATCTATAATATGTGCCGGATCGACGATCTCGATCTCAGCCTTATTACCCACACTTGACAGGTAGGTATTCCAGAGCACTGTGGCCATACTGCCGAAAATCGGCCTATACTGTGGGTGAAAAAAGGAGGCGCATGTGTCTGCATAATCAGTATGTTTGATCTCGTTGAATGGATTGGCAATTGCATAGTGTAATCCGAGCGCATGATATATAGCGTACGTACAGTACAATAGGTTGGTGAACTATACATCTCCGCTACAATAAATTACGCTAATACTGACCATTAATACATTAAAACACAACACCCGGAGACATGCTTGTAATATACTGATTACTATCCTGCATAGATACACAATGGGTCGATGAATATGTAAAATTCAGCAATATGTCAGTAGGCAAGCAGGTAATACGGATCATTAATACACAACACCCGGAGATACGCCTCTATTTTACTGATGGCTATCCTTTACTGATACTCTGGATGATCGCTCTAATAATATGAGCATACGGCGCAGTACTGCTATGACCGTGTGGGCAACGAGCGTGATAGTGTACGTACCTACTTTTCACCAAGCTTGAATGGATAATTCTGGTATTTCATTACAGAACACATCTCAGTTCACGTATTTCGGTTCAGTCGGCTCTATAAATACATGGAGACATTGCACCCGTTTCTGACTGTACTATTGATTTCACACGCCAGAACATTGTGTGCCTACTACGCTAACAAGTACGTCACTGGTAGTGTGGCCATACAGCACCAGCACAAATACAGCGCTCGTGAGCGTCCACATGACTCCACATATACTTACTTGCCGCAAAATAAGGTTGGACTATTGCGCCCCACCGTATATACTAACGACAGATAAAATGTTCACAAGATTCAATCACGTCCCACTGCATATGGAGGGCATAAACCAAGCATCACTACGTCAAAGTATACATACCTGCAAGAGTACTAGTTTGAACTGCAGCCCTGAAATGATGGGCCAGTAAAGAGTACCCCGCGCAAAGGTACCGGGGACATCATTTATGATCCTGTCTTTTGCATCGGACATTGTCTTGCCTTGCAAAAGGGTGTTCACAGTGAAGTTTGCACTGATAAACAGAGGGCCTGTGAGAGTGTTCACAAATACTTTCTCCATCACCCGTCTGTATGTAGGTGAGTGCAGATAAGTATACATGATTCGGTTATTTGTTGCCAATACATGGTCAAGAAAATATACCCAATTGTAGGTATCGGGTAAATACATAATTACTCAGCAAAGTCAATAATCACACAAAGATGAGTGTATGAAACTTCAATAGTGGGATAAAAGTATAAAAATAGATACGTATATGTCTATACCTATATATGAATAGATGCATAAATATTGACAGATGTATATGCATACTTGCGTATATATTTACAAACACACACACAAAATAAACATTAACGTATATACATATATATTATATACATCTAATATATATATACATACATATATATATATATATATATATATATATATACGTATATATATATATATATAATATATATATAGTAATATATAATTATATATAG